TGACTTAAAGGGAAGAAGTCAGGAGAAACTCCGCCTTCGTTAGTTCTTGCCAAAGAAGTCGTCTTAGCGATTAGATTCATCGAGTCCTCCCTCACCCATCATTTAGTATTCATTCTCATTTTCTGAATTTTCGAGATGTTTCTCTGATATAATTGTCATTGCAATAATACGTTCGTAACAGCGATTTTCCATATTGTTTTCCCGGCTATATGTACGTAAGAAAATTCGCTTACATGAGCACACTGCTTCTTCCACTAACGTAATATTTACACAGCAAAATGCCCGAGGTTTCTCGGGGAAAGATCGATTTGAAGCAAACGAAATCAAAGTTAACAAATTCTGCGAGGAAGAGAGCTGTCAAAACCGTTGATTTTATCTGCACAAGTCTTTCACTGCCGAGGTGCACAGACGGAATGGAGCGTGGACCCCCTGAATATGCTTACTTTTTACAGCGTTTTTGTCCTTGATTTCACGTCAATCTACAATAAAAAAAATTGCCCTACTCTAAAAATTATTAAATGCGTTGACAGTCATGTTTGAAGGGATCCTTTGTATCCTTGGAATGCACGTACCCAAGGTTTTGTTTAGTCGCCAAATCACATAAAAGGGATTACAACTCTTCATATGAGATCTATATTTCACAATAAATACATTGTAAACAACTCATAGAAATATAATATATTCTATTTCACCACAAAAACGGCAATTATTCTCAAACCTGTGCTTGTCACCGGACCACGTGACCTCCATAGATGGCTGTACTCTGTAATAATCTTTTAAGAGATTATTACAAAAAAACTTTTTTGAAAAAAAAGGGTGACTAACTTTGAATGTAAAATGGATTCATTAACCACTGGTAAGTATGGGAAAATTGTCGTTTACCCCAGAAAAATTCATTTTTCTGGCCAAAATGAACAATTGTTATCCTTAAAAGGGAAAATTTAAGACATATGGAAAGTTTCTAAACTATTCTAAAAATGATGCCTATGTTAGCATATATATAATACTCAAGTTATATACGGTGTATTAGATTAAATTTATTCAGGAAATATAGATTAATTCTTATATTTAAAAGCTGATTTAACCTTTTGTTTCGAAAAACATTTTATCGTCGGCCTTAGATTACAGAATAAACATCTATTATTTTCAGTTATACACCTTGATAAATTCAACAGGCACTAAGACATTGCCTCCAAATGATTTTTAAACTAAATTCAGCATATTTCATTTTCAAATCACTTTATGATAATTCAGTGATATTTTAAACAGTTTTTAGGGAATGAAAATATTTTTAATATAAACCAGAGTACATTGATACCAAAGACAGATAAAAACGATTTTTTTGGGGGGGCGTTTCTATTCCATATTATTTCTAAATATGTTTCAGGGTAAATAGTAATTTTATCACAAGCATGAAAACCGTTGTGACGAAAAAATGCGGCTTCACCTAAATGATCCCCAGGTTACCAAGGTTCCACACGCAAAGAAAGGATGGTCCCCCATGTTAGCTAATACCTCTCATAGTGTCTAAAAATCATTCTCCATAAATTCACAGCAGAGCTTACAGAGTTGACATAGGTTTACTGGAAATATACGTTCGCGTGCTCCAACAAATCTGCCTACTGAGACGCTTTGCAAATCTTATTCTATAGCAATTTTATGACAAGCGATTGCAGTGTTTTGGACCTCACTCCTAATTCTGTATCTCCTAAGACGTAGTAAACAATATATTAAGTATGTATGTTATGCCGCGTGTTCCTGAACCAAACGTCCTTCACAGATCTTTATCTCGACAATGTACGGGGTCATTACCTGCACGAAAAAAGGCCAGAAACCCTGGCATTTGCGGACAGGTTTGGGAATGAAAATTATCTTAGTCTTTCATCGCGGTTATCTGTTCTTGATTTCAGGAACGATTACGTAACACGGAGTAAGGCACCTGTTTGGCACTATCACGTGGTGGGTCACTCATCACCTTGACCCCAACTTAACGAAAACTGACCCATATTCCCCAAAGACGCCATATTGGATTCCGTTAACTGAGCCCAGATCAACAACAACTGTTATGTTAATTTTAAATCGAGTGATGTATCTTTATTCCAGTCCACAGCTTTTAACATTGCACAATAATATTTCTCATTTTTGAAATAGCCAAATCCTGTAGTTCGTTAAAAATTGTCTTCCATTTATATAATTAGTTGTATAGTACTAAGCGTTGTTAATATTAACAATCACAAAACGGAGGTAGTAATAACTGACCAGTTTAAATGAAGCAGAGAAAATAATTTTGCACCTGAGTGAAAAAAAGACTTATCAGACCTATAAAAATTAGCTAAAATCTACATAATCTATATAGCATAATAAAAGCCAGCAATATATTTGAGGTTGACGTTCCCTATGCTGTATGTGACACTTGTGTCAACAGTGAGAAGAAACAAATAATTTTCAAAAGAAGCACAGTTTAAGGTAATTAAAAACAAATGTATTATCACCCAAACTGTCACACCCAATAGTTATACATTTACTTTCATTGACATGCCATAATTTGTTTTAACATACATTCTAAGTTGTCTAATGTTTTTAGCGTTTAAAACTCTTATTTTCCAATACTGACTTTTTCTTTTTCAACTGCCTTATATTTTTTCCAGTAAAATACCGAAAACATAACTCCTAAAGCATCAAATACAAATTCTTTAAAATAAGCAAAAATTGACTTTTTTCAACAAGCAATAAAAACGGCGCTCTTTTTTTAAGAATTTAGCAGTAATTTTACACGCATAGGACCATAATGATAGCGTAACATGTTCGCTGCCGCGCTGAAGCATTCACCGGTTGTATAATTATTATAGAGAACGAGTCTCTCTCAATGCTGCGAGAGTAAAGCACGAAGTAATACCTCGGGTTATATCTCAAGACTTTTCAAGACATTTGTTCGAATTTGACACCTTATACGCTAACCTAAAGACGATCCTAAAATACATGTAACACACTTATAATATGGGTTAAACTATACACAATGACAATAAATAAATAAATAAAATAATGAATCAATTAACAAATTAAAAAATACACTAAATGGAAATAATCAAATAAAGAAGAAAGTTTGGAGGCTTACAGCTCCAGCATAAACAGCGAGCAACACTTCATTTCTTGTGTAGCATTTTTTGGTCTATGACCGTTTGGCTAAACCGTAACAAAGAAGACAAAAAACTGTTCAAAAACAACAAGGCTACATAGAGATAAACCTAAGATACCAAATAAAATCTACTTAATCCCTAAAATCAAATACAAATAGAAATGTCTTTGAATTTTTACTTCTTGCAGAATAGTACGGTTTTGATTTCACTGGCAATATACTGAATAGACCACCTCAGTGAGGTACCCCACTTTTAAAGAGCAGGTATTGACCCGTTTTACACCCTAAAATATTGTTATTACCTGATGTAGGAACACTAATTCTGCACAAAAATATTTTTTTCAAAATTTTCTGACATCGTTTTAGTGAATAAATCGATAAAAAACGCACGCTTTTAGAGCGAATTTGCTGACCTACATAAAAACAAGTCACCGTGACCATATAGCCTGTCACAGGCTGCCACGTATTTGGTAGATCTGGGGTTGACCTATATAATACACGAGACCCGCTTTCTATGTCAGTCTGAAATTGATTATTGTTGTTCTCTATAAAAGCGTCCGTATTGTATCATGGTTAAAAAGTGTGTTGCCCAAAACTGCTCAAACTCGAAGCATACTGGGCACAGCTTGCATAGGTTTCCGCAAAAACCTAATTTACGTCGCCAATGGGTGAAATTTGTGCAAACAAAAAGGAAGAATTTCAATGCACCCTCACCATCGTCTCAGGCCGTTCTTTGTGGGGCACACTTCGAGGAAGATTGCTTCGCATCCCCGCTTATGAACGCGCTGGGTTTAAAGACGAAAAGGACGTTGAAGGAAGATTCTGTCCCTACCATTCATGCGACAATGAAACGACCACACACCGGAGAAAGTGAACAGTTCGAGAAGACGGTAAAGCGTCGTGTGAAGGTCGTTCAGAAGCGTGAAGTATCCAGGGTAAGTAATGACTTATTCATTTCGTTACATTTTGCCTCCCAACACTGCATTAACTCATGATATAAATATGATATTCACAATTATTTCGGTTACGTAGATAAGAGTAACGAAAAATGAAAACCGTGCAATTTCCGACCGCTCATCAATTTTAATTCACAACAGCAAAAGGGGAGTTGTTTATTTTGATATAGTTGTCATTGTAGCTTTCGAAAACTCATATCAGATATATTTCTTATTTAGTTACTAGATGGATTGGAGACAGGAGAAGCCTCTCAAAATGACATGCCCTGTTTAGAAGAACCACTAGCCAGCACTTCACAGTCCCCACAGTCCNACATGTTCGCTGCCGCGCTGAAGCATTCACCGGTTGTATAATTATTATAGAGAACGAGTCTCTCTCAATGCTGCGAGAGTAAAGCACGAAGTAATACCTCGGGTTATATCTCAAGACTTTTCAAGACATTTGTTCGAATTTGACACCTTATACGCTAACCTAAAGACGATCCTAAAATACATGTAACACACTTATAATATGGGTTAAACTATACACAATGACAATAAATAAATAAATAAAATAATGAATCAATTAACAAATTAAAAAATACACTAAATGGAAATAATCAAATAAAGAAGAAAGTTTGGAGGCTTACAGCTCCAGCATAAACAGCGAGCAACACTTCATTTCTTGTGTAGCATTTTTTGGTCTATGACCGTTTGGCTAAACCGTAACAAAGAAGACAAAAAACTGTTCAAAAACAACAAGGCTACATAGAGATAAACCTAAGATACCAAATAAAATCTACTTAATCCCTAAAATCAAATACAAATAGAAATGTCTTTGAATTTTTACTTCTTGCAGAATAGTACGGTTTTGATTTCACTGGCAATATACTGAATAGACCACCTCAGTGAGGTACCCCACTTTTAAAGAGCAGGTATTGACCCGTTTTACACCCTAAAATATTGTTATTACCTGATGTAGGAACACTAATTCTGCACAAAAATATTTTTTTCAAAATTTTCTGACATCGTTTTAGTGAATAAATCGATAAAAAACGCACGCTTTTAGAGCGAATTTGCTGACCTACATAAAAACAAGTCACCGTGACCATATAGCCTGTCACAGGCTGCCACGTATTTGGTAGATCTGGGGTTGACCTATATAATACACGAGACCCGCTTTCTATGTCAGTCTGAAATTGATTATTGTTGTTCTCTATAAAAGCGTCCGTATTGTATCATGGTTAAAAAGTGTGTTGCCCAAAACTGCTCAAACTCGAAGCATACTGGGCACAGCTTGCATAGGTTTCCGCAAAAACCTAATTTACGTCGCCAATGGGTGAAATTTGTGCAAACAAAAAGGAAGAATTTCAATGCACCCTCACCATCGTCTCAGGCCGTTCTTTGTGGGGCACACTTCGAGGAAGATTGCTTCGCATCCCCGCTTATGAACGCGCTGGGTTTAAAGACGAAAAGGACGTTGAAGGAAGATTCTGTCCCTACCATTCATGCGACAATGAAACGACCACACACCGGAGAAAGTGAACAGTTCGAGAAGACGGTAAAGCGTCGTGTGAAGGTCGTTCAGAAGCGTGAAGTATCCAGGGTAAGTAATGACTTATTCATTTCGTTACATTTTGCCTCCCAACACTGCATTAACTCATGATATAAATATGATATTCACAATTATTTCGGTTACGTAGATAAGAGTAACGAAAAATGAAAACCGTGCAATTTCCGACCGCTCATCAATTTTAATTCACAACAGCAAAAGGGGAGTTGTTTATTTTGATATAGTTGTCATTGTAGCTTTCGAAAACTCATATCAGATTTATTTCTTATTTAGTTACTAGATGGATTGGAGACAGGAGAAGCCTCTCAAAATGACATGCCCTGTTTAGAAGAACCACTAGCCAGCACTTCACAGTCCCCACAGTCCCCACCATCCCCACCAAGTCAGCTGCCTGAAGTATCAGCTACACGGACCATTGGAACTCAGTGCTCTGAGAGAAGATTACATTATCGTAGCAAAGGTAAATTGTTCTTTGTTCATTTATTTATTGTTGGTAGTTATTAAGTTCAAAGTAGTAATTGAGATATGGATGGCATAATGAATCCCACTAGTTACACCAATAAATACATAGTAGGCAGAGAACTTTTTTATTTCTTGCAACCTCGTCAGACCTGGATCCAGAGATATTTTCTGACAGTCTTCCCAATTATCTTTATTGATCTATTCTCTATTTTTGACCGTCTTCCAACAGAAAAAAATTAGATAACCAGAAGACAGCCTAAAATTTGCCTCTGCTCTTCCCTTCAAATTTCTTATCAGTTCTGATTTCTTTATATTTGTTTTTATTTTGGGAGATTGCTTTCAATTAACTGCACATGAATTTGAATGTATTAGGGAATTTCCTGTCTGTAAAGGGTTCATAATCTACAGTAATCCTCTTACAGCTGTATGTGATAGTCAGAGAAGAAGAGGATTTCCTGATCTTTGTTTACATAAGCGATTACACATTAGATATTTAACCTTTTGTGCTTCCAAGTTCTTACAATGGTTTCAGGGTTTAAAGGAAATACATTGTCTTTTTAATTCACAGTCTAGCAAGGCAGCAAGTTTGAGAGTCTATGAATGCTACTCAAATTTAATATCCAGTTTTATTTTAATTTTTTTTAAAATGTTATGCAGTTTGCAGAAGCATACTGGAGTTTGCATGGTAAATTTTGTACATTAGCAAGAAATATAACTGATTTTGTGCACTGAGTTTTAATACAGATTTTTGTTGCTCACAAATATATGTTTTTAAATTGCAGAGACCATGACAACAAGAGATAACTTGAAAGATGTTGGAACTCAGTATGAGTGTTTAGTGTCTTTCAAGGAATCTTCAAGTTCAACCCCAGTGAAAACAATGCCAGCACCNATCGTTTGACTGCATTATGCATTTGCACTGACCCTCTGGGGTTTGTGTAGGATCTGGTTTTAGGATCTCCCTGTGTTTGGTGAGTAAGGGGCATTTTAAAAGAAAGTGTATTTCGTTTTCCACTTCATCTGAGCATAACTTGCAGATCCTTTCTTCAGGGGGTATTGATTTTGGTTTTCGGTATCTGCCTCTTTGGATTTCTAAGTCATGTGCCCCTGTTCTAAATTTTGCCAAATTTTGCATTTCATGTTTTGGTATAGATTTTTATGATAGATATAGATATTTAACCTTTTGTGCTTCCAAGTTCTTACAATGGTTTCAGGGTTTAAAGGAAATTCATTGTCTTTAATTCACAGTCTAGCAAGGCAGCAAGTTTGAGAGTCTATGAATGCTACTCAAATTTAATATCCAGTTTTATTTTAATTTTTTAAAAATGTTATGCAGTTTGCAGAAGCATACTGGAGTTTGCATGGTAAATTTTGTACATTAGCAAGAAATATAACTGATTTTGTGCACTGAGTTTTAATACAGATTTTTGTTGCTCACAAATAAATGTTTTTAAATTGCAGAGACCATGACAACAAGAGATAACTTGAAAGATGTTGGAACTCAGTATGAGTGTTTAGTGTCTTTCAAGGAATCTTCAAGTTCAACCCCAGTGAAAACAATGCCAGCACCACCTCAGCTACAAGAGAGCCCCATAAAAATCTATGAAGATTCTAATGACCCTTTATATGAGCCAGGAGACTTATCATTTCAAGAAGACAAATTCAGTTCACCAGACACATCAGATGAAAAGTAGGTTATGAGTACATGTAGTGCAGAAAAGTGTTTGTTAAGCTTTAAATTGATAAATGTCCTTACTCCTTTTTGGATGAAATTTACTTTTTTCCACTATTTCAGTATTAAAAATCCTATGGTTTAATCATTTTGAACAAGAAAGATAATGTTCTAAATTTAAGTTTTATTTTATTTAAAGGATCACATCCATAACACCAGTTACACCTAGCTGGAAGAGTGAGAGAAAATACATTGTATTTGAGTCGAAGTTGCTGGAACTGTTTAGTGTTTGCCCTACATGTGCAGGGCCAGCTCAGGGGCAGATTGTACGGGAAGTTGGCTCTCTAGTACAAGTGGTGACCAAATGCCCCAATTGTGAAGCCACCACGCGTGACTGGAACAGTCAGCCGATTGTTCATCAGCTACCAGTTGGTAACCTTGTTGCCTCTGCAGCAATCCTTCTGTCAGGGTCACTCCCCACATAGGCGCTCAAGGTCTTTAAGATTATGAATGCGGCCATGCATAACAAGTCGACTTACTTCAGGCATCAGACCAACTATGTCATACCTTCAGTTGTCTGCATTTAGAAAGAACAACAGGTAAACAATGTTTTTGGTACAATCATAGTGAAGCAGTAAGTTTATAGTAAATATGATATTCACAATTTTTAAAAAGTTGAGTTGGTTAACCCAGTGTTTCACTTGTTAATTTAATGATCTTTTACATTTAAACTTAATATCAAATTGCATACAGATTGACATAAAAATACCTTTTTTTTATTATCATTTAATAAAAATGATAAAAATTTGCCTTTTTTCCATAGGAGGATTTGTTTCAGAAACTAAGAGAAAGTGGTGTGCCTCTAGACTTAGCTGGTGATGGCCGAAGTGACTCGCCTGGTCATTCAGCAAAATATGGAGGCTACACTATCATTGAACAAAAACTGAACAAAATTCTAGATATTCAGCTTGTACAGGTATGCTATTTGTACTTTTTAAACAGATAAGGTACAATTGAAACTGGGTTCACTTGACTTGATATTTAATAGCTCAGTAAAATTTAAATCTGTATTCATTTGACTTGATATTGAATATTTCGGTAAATTTTAGTCATTTTCTAAAATATTTTCTAATCTGTATTTATTAATTTTTATAGAGCAATGAGGTGGGAAGTAGTAATGCTTGTGAGCTGGAGGGCCTTAAGAGGTGTGTGAGGCAGTTGGCTGTCCAAGGTCTGAATTTGTCGTCTATTGTCACAGACAGACACAAACAAATCAATGCCTACATTCGTGATGACCTGACCCAAAACATGCGAATAGCTGCCAACATGAAGCACTATTTTGATATATGGCACGTTTCCAAAGGTATGTATGCACTTTTAAAATTTAAGCAAAAGAACACATCAATACAATTTTAATGTAATCTTTTTATTTTAATTACATTGTAGACAAACTTTAACCATAAATTTTGGGAAAAATGGTAAAAGGTTGCAAAAAATTTTTTTACAGGACTCAAGAAAAAACTCGATGCCCTGTGCAGGAGTAAAGGTTTTGAGGATGTGGCACTTTGGAAGAAGGCAATCATCAACCACATGTACTTTTGTGCAGCCTCTGTTCCAGAGGGGGAGGCTGAACTTCTTTTGACCAAATGGAAATCCGTGGTCAATCACATACACAATGTTCATGACCATGACAACCCATTATACCCAACTTGTGACCATGGCCCCTTAGTAAATGAAGAAGATCGTGACAAAGAATGGCTTGTACCAGGTATATATTTATGACTGTAATAATATCAATCAAGACGTTACTGTGTTGTGAACTTGACTTGTACCAGGTGTATGTTAACATTTGTATTGCTTTTTATTTAGAAAACAGTACATTCAATAAAATACTTGCAAATACACGTACAGCATGACTGATAGCTATGACCTATTGCAGGTACTCCACAATCTGTTCGACTGGAAGAGATTTTAGAGGCGCCAAATCTGTGCAGAGACATCAAACGTTTGTCCCCAAGGTATCAAACTTCATCCCTGGAAGCCTTCCACAGCCTGATCATTCACTTTGCCCCAAAACACACCCACTTTAGTTGGCTTGGACAATTGACACGGTAAGGAGATATTTTGTAATGGACTCTTTCAATGTGGGTGTGCCTCTGTTCAGTATTGTTCAAATGCAATCAACAAATTCATTCCCCTTTTCCAGGTATTACTTGGCTGCTCTTCACTACAATGAAAACAGTGAGAGAATGCAAGCAGTAACAGAAAATGGGCAACCAAGATGGTCAATCAGATTTCCAAAGTATAAGAAGGGTGGCTACACAGTTAGAAAGGAAAAAACACAGCCAACATACAGTATGTTTGCAAAATATTCCGATTCCATTTAGGAATCATCATGCTTTATTTTAACATTTGTCATTTTCATTTTTGTATAAATTTAGCTTGCAACTTTCTTGGAGATATTTACTAACATTTCAAATTAAAACAATACTAAAAAAAATAAAATCTGCCCTTCCATTTACAGATTACACTGACACGATTCTTCAGAGGCTTCAACAAGAGTTTTCTCATAGCCCTGCTCAGCTTCGAGATTCAATTCAAGAGGTTCACCAGAACCAACCAGACACCCTCTCAAGTGACATGGATGTTCCTGACAAGAGACAAGCAGTACAGCAACATGTGCACCGCTTTGCTGACCATTAGTGGAATAAATGAACTGTAATGTTTGTTTAACATAAAGACCTGTGTGATTAGTTGCAAGAGAAATGTAGTGAACTCCAAGTAATGGTCATTTTAAGTTTACTTATTCTACCTCTGAAAAATGTTAAATGAGCAGCAAAGGTGTCTTGATAATAAGAATATTTCAGCAAGTACTTATTTTGTCAACTCATTTAGTACATGTGAACTTTTGTGTTCAAGAGCAGCCAAATTTAAATTTTTTAACTCATAAAAGTACATCTGATACATGCATGTATATAACTTCATAAACATTAAAAAAAGGTGCTTAAATTTACTTTTTCTGTACATATTTCCAATTGAGCACAAATGAAGACTCCTGTAACATGATGTCCAGGATAGGTCAGTAAGAACATTAAACTTCAGGTCATCTAAGGTGCCATGAGTTCTCTTCTATCTCAAGTTGGGCAATCTGAAACCTGTGTAATGTCCATTGGTTGTAAAAGTGTTTCTTATTTTGCTAACTGCACAAGCAGGCAATGGGACCCTGCGGTGCTTACCCAAATAGCCCCAGCACCACCGCACCACTTGGCGATAGGCAATGTAACGATACTTTCTGAAAGAATAAACCAGAAAAGCCCATTAAGTTTCATGACACTAAATAAAAATAAAGTATTATAGATTTTTGCATTTGAGATAATTTAAAAGCTATCTATAAATTTCAATGGTGTGTAAAAGAAAAAATAATATAGAATTTTCAATTCACGCTTATTGTGGTATTATTTCAAAACAAGAATCCTTACTCAGCCTGATTTGCCCCGTGAGATTCAGGAATTGCACCATATTGTTGCCTGTGATGTAAATATGCAATTTCCAAGGCATATGGATTTAAGCAGCCTTGCCCAAATCCTGGGTGCATGATAATGCAATCAACACCGCCCTCCTCCGCCCTGTTTTTCACCTCTGGAATTTCATGACAGCAGCGACTTTCTGCCTCTGTAGTCATAGCTGAACAATGACCACATTCACACCTGTAAAAAGCAATGACACTAGTAAATTAAAAAGAAAACATTTACCGATGTATATTCTATTATTTTCATCTTGCCGGAAGCACTTCCTGATCTCCGATCTGGGGACATAAGTCCTACACAACATGGTGTCTGTTGGGGGGTGGGGGGGGGGGGTGTAAACAGAGTGAAGTTTGAGCCACGACGGGGAACGGTGCGGATAAGTGTTTCTAAATATTTACCTATCTAAAACTCAAGATACAGCGAGGTTGAAGGCTACTGCTCCTAGTGCATTAGATAGATATCTAGTCTGTTGAACTACAGATGTAAAACAGAAATTTGGACGAAAAGGGGACTGCACTCTAAGGGACTGCACTCTTTCTAAATAACTTTGCGTTTCACTTCAATATCATTTAGTTGCCCAATTAAATCTTAAAACATTGAATTTTAAAGCACCATGCCGGCACTGAAGAATAATAAAAACACTCACCATTCTGTATTCCCGACTCTTTGTGCCTCCGTGTTAACGCTCTCATTCTCGGGGAGAGGCCCAACTCTTTCACGTTTCCTAGGCTCAAACTGATATCCCTGAACGGAAATAAACGGTACGCTTTCACTGTAACTGCCATCTGAAAGCGTACTTTCCTGAGAAACTGAACCAGCATCCGAATTATCGTCAGAAATTTCAAATTCTGAATCGCTAGCGCCTGGAAGGGTTTCTATGATGTCCGCCATCTTGGAATCGACGAAGTGTCTACCATTGACGTAAAACGCGTCATTGATTAATTTCCGTTCTTTTCCGGTGTGTACTCGGCTACTCCCGGAGAAACATCACTAAAACGGGCAATATCACGTAATATGACTGACATAGGAGTTAAGTAAGTGTAAATATTGAATGTTTAAAATGTATTCTAATGATCCCCAAAAGTGACCCCCATACCCAAAACCTGCACNAAGAAGACAAAAAACTGTTCAAAAACAACAAGGCTACATAGAGATAAACCTAAGATACCAAATAAAATCTACTTAATCCCTAAAATCAAATACAAATAGAAAATGTCTTTGAATTTTTACTTCTTGCAGAATAGTACGGTTTTGATTTCACTGGCAATATACTGAATAGACCACCTCAGTGAGGTACCCCACTTTTAAGTTTAGCCCCGCGTTTTCCACGCGGAGGGCATTTTGAATGCAACAGTATAACTGTTTTGGTTTGACATCGTTGAGCAAAAATATCAAGTTTCAACAGGAAAAACTGCCCGAAGACATCAAAATTAATTTGTTTCCACAAGAGGAAGTGAAGAGTGGTTGGCAAAAACAAGTCCCAAAACTGCAGTAACTACAAAATGGGCGTCCAATCACAGGGTATTTTCTTCGAAACACTGTTATTGTAAGAGTAAGGCCAACTAACCAAATGCGCTTAGCACGTTTTTGTAGAATGCAAGCTTTAACTACCAGAAGAATTCACGCAACTGCCTTTTCTATTAATAGTATGACTATGCGGGCTTAACGAGGCTACACTAATTAACTTTGCATGCAAAACTATTCACAAAGATTAAATCTTAACTACCACCTATGCAAAACTTGCAATCGCAATCTGTGAACTGAACGAAACGATGAGGTTATATAAAGAATTTGAGTTCACACACAAAGTGATGATGCATCTTTGTATTTGACTAGATATAATATATTACCAAACAATGTCTCCTGAGTAAATATGGCCGAGGTTTCCGGTAAATGCTTAGCTCGTCTGGTGCTGCCTGATGTGCAAAATAAATAAATAAATAAATAAATAAATAAATAAATATGCAGAAATTGAAACTCAAGATATATTTGTAGTTTCGAGGTATTCAAATTCTATAATTTGATAAAAACTTGGGTCTTTCTAAAAAAATGTTGTTGGAGTAAATCAAATGAATTTGGATCCCAACGTAATATTTACCGGTCCCAAATAATTTTTGTACAAACGAAAGACGGTCTTTCCAATCACTTCATAAGAATGCGATTTTCAAGGGGAGTGCCTTCATATTCTTAACCAATCCTTCTGTTATCGAACGTTCGTACATGTATATCTAATATCAGAGGTCATTTGAAACCGAGTTTTGTAACAAACTGACAAAACCAGCAAGGCTAAGGAATTGACTAGAAACAGACTTCAATACTACAGTGAATAGCGTGGAAGAAGAATTTTCCCATTCTCTCAAAAATGCTGCTTTATACCCTGGAATGCTTTCAAAGCCCAAGCACAAATGTTTCGTCAACTACAGTTACCTGAGACAAAATGAGATTTTCAAGTACTTGTTCAGAGAATAGGTACAAAAAAATCAACTACTAGTTTTGTTTAAGTGAGAGCCAAAAAGTACTCTTGAATCCCTTCTTTGATTTAAACGAGATGAACTTTTTTTTTGAGAGAAGGGAGAATTCTCAGACCACAAACATAACTGCATATTACCCGTGGAATATCTCTCAAAAATAATTATAATAACAACCATAAACAAATAAATAAAAGTTGCTTAAAGCAATGCCCAAAAACTGATCTAGTCATCATTCATACTCTACTGCATATAATAGCCAACTGTTGCCTGATAAAGTAGAGGTAGTGGCGAGGCTCTCTGGCTGAGCACCAACTTTTTACACCAGTCTTAAAACACAGTCTCCAAACCATTCATCTTAAAACAGATAAAAATATTTACAAAAAAAAACACTCTTGAGTTAGAGGCAATGTGAAGCCTGAAGGAAATGAGAGCCCTCATAGGGCTGTACTCGCCTACAGATGGAGCTGAGGTAGGGGCGGTTACACATAAACAATAATATAATACACAAAATTTATCATTAAAAAATTAATTGAATAGTAAACCACAAACACATATGGTGCACACAGATAGGTGTTCATAGACCAAATCTCTTTTCTGTTTCCATCCACCATAGGCCATGATTTTTAAAAAATAGGCTAGGTTCGAATGTGCTGGCCATGTGCAGATAGCCCGAGGTAGATAAAAATAAGCACATTTAGCATGTTTGTAAGCTATAATCACAACATGCTGCATTTAAGATTGGAGTTCTTAACTAATTGTAACATACAGTCTTTTGCTTCCTCATTTCATAAGTTCTTTGTTTAACCTTTTTAGCTTATAAATGACCACAGTTTTTCATAAATACATTTTAAAAAGGGATTCTCATACACTTCAATGTCATAACATGTGAAAGCAGTATAGAAACACCTATAACCAAACCAACAACTGTATAATCCCTACACTGCACTGACTTGAGGATGCAGTACTGCTTTTACAGCATAGGGGTAATATAGACTAGCATAGAATAAAACTAATTACCAACTATTTTTCTTATCAATGATTTATCCACCTACTATATCGCTTCCTCCAGTCAGAGCTCCTTCAGAGGGTGCACATAGGTTCCTGAGAGAAAACTGTCCTTGCTTGGGAGACTGCCGTGTGCGCCTGAGTGGACTCTTCTTGGAATACTGATTTACTTTGTGCACGCCACACACCGAGTATATATATATATATATATCAACATTTTGCACATTACTCCACAAATAATATATATATATATATTGAAGAATAATAAAGTTTGATTTTGAATCACTGAATGATCAAGTTCACAATGGCTTGTATGACTACATCATATTCTCCCTGAGTAAGAATTGTTGTATATTGCCTTTGGCTTCACATAACATTGTTACACTGCCTTGGCCTCACATATCAACAGCCTTGAGATATTCCTGAGCGTCAGTTATTAACCTGAGGTTTTTCATCCATTTCATCATTGACCAAAAGAGCCCAGATATACGACAGTTAACTGGGCACAGGTCATCAAAACACTTGGACACGGTTGTTTCCAAAGTCCACAACTAGGAGATACCCGTCAGGGGAGACACACAGGCCAGAGGGGCGGTCTAACTGGCCCGGGCCACTCCCAGGGGTGCCAAACTTGCACAAAAAGTTTCCATTGGGTTGGAAAATTTGCACCCGGTGATTACGAGAGTCTGCCACTATTATGTTCCCCTCTTGGTCCACGGTGACACCCTGAGGACGTAGAAATTGCCCGTTGGATGAACCCTCTGTCCCGAGGAAGCGTGCAGATTGGAAGTCAGGGTGGATGACAAGCAGACGGTGATTGTTGAAGTCTGTTACCACCATGTGTCCTTCGTTATTGAAGCACACGCCGCGTGGGGAATCAAAATGTTTCCAAAGTGCTCCTTCGAAGCCGTATTTGTTGAGGAATGCACCATCAGCTGAAAAGAGCTGCACCCTGTGGTTTCTGGTGTCAGAGACTAATACTTTACCCTCAGGGTTCACAGCAACATCCCAGGGGTAGTTAAACTGGCCATTCTTGTTTCCTTTCTCTCCAAACTTCAACTGAAATGTGCCATCGAAGGCAAAGATCTGAATGCGGTGGTTGTCTTTATCTGCGACAATGATACGCCTGTTCTGGTCAACTGCCACACCCGCTGGACGATCAAACTGCCCATTCCTTGACCCTGGGGTGCCAAATTTCCTTGAAAATGAACCATCTGGATTGAAAATTTGAACACGATTGTTGCTGCGGTCAGCAATGAAGATGTATCCCTCACGATCACAACATATGCCCCAAGGTCGACAGAGCTGCCCCTCTTCTTCCCCTTCACCTCCAAAGCAGAATAACATTTGCCCAATGGAAGAGTAGTTCCGACCACTACGCACAGTCACTGTGAAAGGGCTATCATGGATGTGTTTGCCTCGGATTGTAACTGAAACAATATACTGTCCCTCAGACTGTGGTCGGTAGCTGACAGCGTAGGTTCCATTCTGACGGTCTGTGATCTCTGCTCTGAACAGCACGCCCTCTGGGCTCTGCACAATGACGTCCAAGGGGTCGCCCCCCACTGCGCGCTGGTCCCCCAGGTGATCTTTTGCTTGTACTGTGAATGTTGCCACCTTTCCCCGTAGACCACGTTTAAGGCCGTCCCCTGTTGCTATGGAGTTAGGAGCAAAGGCACTGCTATATATAAAGCCAAGCTGACTAATGGCTGTGTGAAGGGCTGTGTCAGGGGGAGTAAACACAATATTGTCGTCTTCGTGGGGCGTGAGGTGACCTCTGAGACGTCGCATGTTGGAGATTTCAGAAACCATTTTGTCTTTGGTTTTAAGCACATCCACATCAGTACCCGTGTCAAGAATAGCCTGCACCTCTTCTACAGTCATTGTTAACGAGGTTAGACCTTGGCGTAATTCCTCTGCTTGGACATGTAGCGACTTTCCCTTAACCTGACGTATTTTCTCGACCCGGTGTAACAAATCGCGCTCACGCTCCTCTAATGCTGCCATATGACGGTGTGTTGTAGCACGCACTTCAGTCACTACTGCCTGTGCACGTCCCTCCACGCGTTCTTGCATACTCTGTGTGGTGTGTAAACTATCTTCTATGGATTTGATTCCTGCTTTGGCATCCACCAGCAACTTCATAGTGACTGTCTTTGAATTCTCTACAGCATCCTGGAGATAGATAAAATTATGACCCAAGTGTTCGGACATAGTGCACTCCCTGCATATGGCTCTGGCACAGCTATCACAATAAAGGCGTAAAATCTCGTGCTCGTGGATCTGGCAGAAACTCGGAGGTCGATCTGAGACCGGCTGCATGGTGGGAGTTGCTTGCTGAGCAGATATATTGGTGCGTGCGTGTGCGTTGTTGTCTCGCTGGTTCATACGTACAATCATGTGGTCTTTGGTGAGTCGTACACGTAGGTGCGCCCTGACGCAGTTATCACAAAGAAATTCGTTGCAGTCTTTACAGTGCGACGTAGCTGGAGCACCCTCGTCGCACGAGCTACAGTGACGCACAGCGTGCTCTTTATCAAGATCGCCATTTTCGAAATCCTCCTCGTGTGAAACTACAACGTCTAATATATTTTTGATGAATATGTTGGCTGGTAAACTGTCCACACCGCCCTCTCCGAGAGCGGCCTTTTGGCTACATGTCGGGCACTGGATCTGCCCTCCTTCTTCCCCCTCGTGTCTGTCCACAAGACATCGTCGGCAGAAAGTGTGGAAGCAGGGTAAAACGCGAGGGTCGGCGTACCGCTCCCCACAAGTACTACATGAAAGTTGCTCGCTGATTTGGTCCGTAAATGCGGCCATGAGGTAACGCATGAAGCTTGTGTAATGGCTTGGTGGCCACGAACAGAGAACCTCCCACGATCGCCGTACACACGAGCATCAACCCAGCCGAACTTCGAGAACGTATGAATGGGCATCGATGGAAGATATTTTCCCGTTCACCTGACTAGTTGATGAGGTATAGATTTCAATGTGACTCAAGTTACTTCATGTTCACAAGCTGAGGTAGATAAAAAACGCTCGAAATCTCTCCTACCGTCACTTTTTCGCGTCTGCCGTTAGGAGCTCCAGCTCACCCCTTCTCCCCACGTCGCCATCTTTGCATCTTGAAAGGCGTTGTGACCTAGTTAGCTGAAATATGTCATTCATCTCTTTTCAACCAATCAGAATTTGAGCTAGAAAGTAGGACGCCAGCGAGCGTTGGTTTATTAAAAGCATTTTTCTCATAAAATCAATTTCAAAGTGGCATTAATGTGGTTATGTAAACGAATTCTGTTGACCCCTGAGCTGCTGCTATCAAATGACTATTTTGTGAATGAGTTGTTTGAGGAATTTTATCGGAGCGCGCCAAAACCCTACCTTCGGAAATTGCATAATGTTACTTAACCCTCCTGGGTGCTTATTTAAGTAATTATACCACGCACGGGATTCACACATGACGTTTATCTGATTTTATGACGCCAAGTATGCTCTTTGTGTATAACTGCCAGGAATGCAATGTTAAAACAGGTCCCTACTCGTGATTAAGTCATGTTTATTCATGGCAGAGCGTTAATTAAACCCCGGCCCCTTCTTGACACGAGGTTTGTGTTGCTTTACTCCATTGAGTTCTCTGTAACTTTTGGACGCGGCCTCAAAACAACTGCAGAGTAAATGTCTTATTGCACGGAAGAGTAAAGATAGCTTTACTTGTAAATTTACCAACCTCACGGGTCATATGCGTTAAGTGTGTCATAAATGCTGGAAAACTGGATATAAATGTAAAATGTAACAGGAGGTGAGAGAGACTTAACTTTATTATAGGCCTATCTAGGAATTGACAATCTGTGAAAATATTTACATTGTGCTTATTAATATGAAAGAACTGTTCGTTTTGAGTGTATCAGCACAAGAATGGCACAGATTAGTTAATCTTAAGCTATTATTTTGTGACTCACATTTCGCCAACCAGAGAAATACTTGTTATCTGCAACTTACTATATATCAAAGAAAGATGCACGGCTCCTTATGCACGAAAGAAAAGCCTATTCAAATGTTTAGACTGGTGAAAAAAATTTATATAACTATATATAATTTAAATTGTTTTTCAAAATATACCTTTGAGTAGCATTTGAAATTAATCATTCTGTTGAATCCCATGATCTCTAGATCATTTAGAAAATGCGACACTATTGCCATTTTTTTTTTTTTTTATGGATCTGAACTATTTTCCTCAAAGCCGTAAGAAAGCTGTAACACCGAAAAATACCGCTTGAATAGGAAAAAAAAATTTTTGTACCTACATTAATTACAGTCATAGTCTAAATACAGATAAAATATTTAGGCCTACATGTCTCAAATTACTTAGATGAAAGAACATTTAACTACGATTGGATTTACAAACTGAGATAGCAAAAATCAAGATAGATGTTTTCTTCTTGGTTGTCTATTTTGAAGATTGTCAATTTATATATTAAAACTATTTGAAAATTAATCAATATTAGTAAAATAATTTCTGTAATACGAGTTAGTTTTTTAATTTGCTTCAATTTTGATAATTCTGTCTTATGTAGGTCTTAAATTTATTTCATATTATTTTATGGTTACAACCAAGTTATGAATTTTTGTTTGTGGGAATTATATTTCAATCAACTGTCATGTTCTCCCTTAAGAAACGTATTTCTTTTTTATATATATGTAAATCCCTGATATTTGTTATTGCGTTTTTTCAACGTAATATCATTACTAAAATAACATAGATTATAAATTGTCTTTGTGAATATAAAGCTGCCTTAGTATCCCTGCTTAAATGAATCAAACTGAAAAAGCCCGGCTATTCAATCGTAAACTGTGAAGATTAAAAGTTTGACAGCGTCGTTCACCAAGAAATTGTTTTGCTCCTCACTTTTCTGCTTTGTCTTAGTTTGATCTTTTCAGTTTGAGCTGTCAAAACATATGCCAATATACTACAAAATGTCATGAAACTATGAGACCAATATTCACCAATTCTCTTTTGTTTGCATGATTTATTTATTTCAATGGAAGTGAATTTTCAAGTATTTGAAGATTATGTGTCAAATATTCGTGATACATTTTGGAAATAAATTCGGAAATATTTCAACAAATTCACTAAATGTATAAGATGTTTTCCAAAAATTATTATATGTATCACATTTATTTTTGCATTTTACTCTTTAAATTTATCATTGGAACTCGAATTTAATTGACAATAAGCTGTGGAATAAGGTAACAGAGAGAATTTTTTCTGTGAATGAAAGATAAAATTTTTACAGGCATTCATTTTTCAGTAAGTAATTAATTAATGCACAGTATACAAATACCTGCCTGAAACAATGAACCTTTTCTATTTTTATTCCCTTATATACAGTTTAGATCTTACTGAAAATATTATTTTATTAAAAATCACATCACTCTTATCGTGAAAAAAGCAAAGGTTTATTTTTTCTTTTGATAAATATCCTCTTAATTGTTAATTTTTAACCAAAGTTCAAATGCATTAATATTGAAATTTTCAATAATTTATTTTTATTTTGATAAAATATGTTCTTTATTGTTTTTAATTTTTCACCAGTGCCCAGAAGCATTAATTGAAATTCCCAATAATTGCACCAGTCCCTGTCAAAGGATTTATTCTCAGACAATCCTCAGCTACTATTTTTTTTAATGATTTGAGCTACAGAAATGTCTATAAACATTTGTAAACAAATTCCTCCTGTGGCAAAGCATTTCTAAATTAACTTCAAAATTTAACACATACTGAAATTATGCCATTATTTTCGCACACATTGGCAGGATTTTAGTGGATTCTTTTTTCTTTATGGATTATCAAAATATATGACGTGAAAATTTTTAATACAAAATGGACAAGTGACTTTGGAAAACTGTTTCCGAATTCTTCAATAAAAGAAACTTTTTACTTGTTTTTCCTAGGTCAAATTTCACTGGGTATTGTATTACTTTGAACTCCTGTGTCTTCATCTTGATTTATTATGCATGTAATAATGTGTATTATTCAAAGAACCTGTCTGTATATAATAGACAAAGAAGAAATTTATTTAAAAACTCTATTTTACTTCTTCTTCTTATTTGGATCGTCCCAAAATGCTCACAGAAAACGAATGAAATTGATGACGAGTGAAAATAAATCAAATACTACGCACTGTTTTAGGTTTGAAGACTAAAACATAAATTTTTCTTGTCCTTTTCTAACCTCATCGGATATATAAGCGACCATAAGAGCCTGGATCTGACCGATCAGTCCCTGCGTTCTATATTTCAGCGAGCGTTGCTGTTTTGTTTTTCTCTCTCCAACCACATGTATCAGCTCCACTCCCTGAATGACCACACCAATGACCCTCCAATGGCCCTCCTCTGGCAAGGATCCAGGTCATACAGCGTTCGGGGCTTATACGTGTTTGCGGCATGTTACGTAATAGATTGAATAATAACCGGGTAATATTGTGAGAGCTATATCATATGGCTCGGCCTCACTGTACATAGCCTATGGAGTCGGGTTAGGAACTGCTATACATTCTGTGGACTCGTCGATAACGCTATCTGTCCTCCTGTCTATTGTAGTCCGCGGCGTTGGTCATCATTCAAAGCAAAGGTAGCGGTCAGGAGAGATAAAAGAAAATCGCGCCACATTCGTGGAAAATTCGTACTTTTGCCACAGAGAAAAAATTTCTGTTTGCGTAAAGCAGCCGGAAGCACAAAGATTTCATCGTTAGTCTTATGGAAACTCAGGAGATAAATTCGAGCTTCAGTACACCAATGCATTACACTATTTCTTTCAAACTATTTTAAAAAGACAAATTTAGAAGCTATTAAGCTTTTGGGAATATGAGTACCTCCGATTATTCTTTTTTTTACTCAGTAAATCTAGGATAATAGCTAGATATATTCGCAGAATAAGTATTGCACAAAAGCAACATAGAGGATGAGAGAAACGCTCTTAAAAATCAATACCAGACAGGATGATAAACGGCAAAGTGGAGCCGACGTGTTAACAAGGCTCGAGATGCAAGAAAATAATTCATCAGTTTATGAAAAGGCATGATAAATCTGAAAAATGTTATGTTGCTCTTAACATTGATTATCTTTCCACTGAAGTGGCAAGCACTATAAACGTTTGAAATGACTATATGCAATCTTCATATTCCCGGGTAAATTGACCCAATATTTAAGGAAGGCAATGCAATTGATTCCTTTCTATCTCTCTTCTGCTCTTTTTTAATGCATTCGCCCTAATTTCTTTATACGACATCATAAATAACTATAATAATAACAATAATGAATAAAATAATATACATATAAATAATATAAATAAAAATAGAAAAAATAGAAAAACGAAAGAAGTAAAAAAGTAAAGTTGGTAAGTGCACGTATTAAGGCCCACTCTATTAACACTATAGAACTTAGGAGATATAAATTACCGCTCCTTTCAGAAATCGTATGTTTTAAAACAAGAAGGTATCAACTTTTTTCCTGATTAAAAAAAGTTATCGTTGGAAATACACTAAAAGTGTTCAAAGAACGAAACTATGCTAGTGTACGATATTCTTTCTTTGCTTTTGTTTTATATGTCATGTTGTTATCAACAGATCAAGAATATTGGTTTCAAGTATTCGGCAAGTGTTTTCAATCCTTATGCAAATATTACATCTGCCTGTGCGACATGCTGATATGCTTAAAAAGGCGACAATATTATATATGGCACACCAGTTTGGCGCATGAAAGGTGTGTTATTGTTCTTCTCGCTTTTGTCTCCGTGTGTATTGAAGGTATTGAGACTGGCAGTGCAAAGTCGTTAGGTGGGTGGTACATTTTCCCCGCTTTTTCAGCTTTCTACCCCTTACTCCCCACAAGGAATGCACAGTATTTTATCTTGGAGCCGGCGGTATAGGTGAAAAACGAACGGCTACCCGAGCGCTCGTGTTAAGAAAAGTCAGTTTGATTAATATTGTTAACTGAAGAACGATTTTCCCCTTTCCTTGTTTTCAGGCTGTTAATAAACGACACAAACTAATATCATCACAATGCTAAGGGAATGAAATGACGACAATCTGTGTAGACACAGATTTAGCCAACGGAAATGTACGCGTTCTTATTTGGGCTCTTGGCATAAGGGAGGATGCTTGTGAAACCTGATATGGCTGTTTTCCGATCGTAACGTGTAGTGGGCGAGAAAATGATTCACTTCGTTGGTACCGATATGTTTGTAGTGGTATTCAACTCATCGTGTCTTCTGAGGTCGCAAGCAGTAGTCCACAGAGATAACCAGGCGGCCCAAGTTGATTGTGGTAGATGTGACGTAAGCCAACAGCGCAACTGTAACATTTTTGACAGCGTCTGCTGTACAATTTAAAACACATGCATGCAAAACAGATGAG